AGACTTGTTGAAGACGATGATGTTGAACCAAAAAAACGAAGGCGGGCCGTAGAAGAACTTGTAGAAAAGAAAAAGATGAAAATGACTATTGAACAATTAAACGTTAGTGCAATGAATAGTAGTATTATATAATAGAGCTATTCAATGTATATATAATTTGTATATAGCATAAAAAGCATGCGTCGTTATACGACGTTCATGTATTAGAAAAATAACCTTAATTTCGTTTTTATTGGCAAGTTAATAATATCATTAAATTAGTAGAAAATTCTTTTTATAAATTATAGTTAATTTTTTTATGCTTATAATTTATTATTATTCAACGGATTGATAATAAAAAAAACCCCTAAACCTCTTTTTTATTAATAAATTTACATATCATGATTTATTAAGTTATAGAAGTTAAATTGGAATCCTCATTCATAATCTCTTTCATGATGGGATTTCTCTTTAGAATTGTCTCAACAAATACCATCGAATTAGTTGATTTGTATCTTTTTGTTGTCGAAGCTTTATTTCCTTTGTTATTGACTTCAGTAAAATCCTTGACGTTACTTAAATCAACGAATAATGGAACATCGTGCCAATATGGAGATCCATTATTGGACAGTTTATATATCTAAAATATAAAAAGATTGATCGTTTTCAAGATAGACGATCTAATTCAATTTAGTATTTGATTTAATTAATAAGGCTTACCATATTATTATTTTCAAGATAATTTATAAGATTCCTTAAAATTGATGACGCCCACAGTGTAGAACGACTACCGACAATTATTAATTTGAATTTTGCTCGAGTTATCGCAACATTTATTCGTCGGTAATCTTCAAGCAAGTTTCCAACCTTTATCCATTTATTATAAGCAGCGTAAAAGGGGTTGATTAGATCATGATAATAGATGTATTATATTATAAGATTATCTTATTATTTACCTTTAATTCAGAATTCGATCTCACCAATGATAATACAATGACTTGTTTCTCCCTTCCTTGAAAACGATCAATTGTCGAAACTTCCAACTCACTGCAACCTTTAAATCTGTGTGCAATGTGTTTTAACTGGGAACGAAATGGCGTGATGATACCAATTTCTTTAGCAGGGACACCTCCTGCCAATAAAGCTTTGACGCTATGTTCGACAAGTATGACCTCCATATCATTTTGATACTTTCCATTTGAAACAAACTCTTTGGTAAGGAGGTTATCAGTATCAATCATAATTAATGGTCGTTCTGGATCGATTACATCTTTTAACCAGCAACTCTCGTGACAGCAATAATATTCCGGGTCATGAAATTGGGAAAGAAAACTTTCATTCCATCTAGGAATGCACAAACGTGTTTGAGCCGTGATTGTCGATCCACTGAGCATATTGCTATCATAAATTATCGAATTGGATAAGTTCATGATTTCTTCATTCATTCTATATTGATATCTTAAATTTGCAACCGCATTTGGATGAATTTCTGTAAACATTTTAAATAAACTCTTTTCCATTCCTTTCTTAATGGCTTCTGTTCTACGCACCAAAGGTTGTAACTGATTGTGATCACCGACTAGAAGAAAACGATCCGCAAAGCGAAGTGGCCCAATACAAGTAGGAAGTGTTATTTGCGTTGCTTCATCAATGATACAATAATCGAACCTTCGTTTAGTAAATATTGGACTATGTACGGAAAAGGTATATTAATGAGAATGATTCAGTTATGACTAAAAACATTTTATTCGAACTTACTTATTCATTCCAAGGCATGTGGTTGCAACCACTTTCCTAGTTTCAATGAAATCAGAAAATTCGTCAATACTCTCAAATTTATTGTTGTCTATTATTTGTGGCCAAATGCTTTTGTGGACTTTGCTTTTATCACCAATCCTTAATATTTCTTCTCCATAATCACTTAATTTTGAAAGAACATTATCCACAGCTGAATGAGTATAAGAGGCAAGGAGCACAGAATCACCTCTACGTAAAAGGGCCTTAATGATTTGGGCTATAGTAAAAGTTTTTCCTGTCCCTGGCATTCCTAAAATTAATGCATAATCTTCGGCTATATAATTTACGTTTAGTATGATTAAATTATTGTTGAAAATACATCTTTTTTAATATCATGCACTTGACCATACCATTCAAAGCTAACTCAAATGCTTTAACTTGATCCTCGTTCAAATCCTTTTTAAGATCATTATAATTTATTAATGTAGAGAAAGTTCGACCGTATTGTGGTGCTTCAAGATTAACTATCAACTTTCTTAACTTTCTAGTTGAAACGTCCATAAGGAGACTAACAAGATTTTGCCGTACGAGCTTTATGCTGGAAGTCAACTCATCCCGATCGATTCGGTAAGAAGTTGTAGCCAAGTCAAATCCTAATGGATTTTTAAGTATTCCTTCTTGTTCCGTTCGATCCTGTAATCCTAAAAAGCTGTGACAAGACTCTATGTCAAAGTCGTTTGCTTGCTTTGGGCCACCACAAGGTTTACGGTCCAAAGTTAAACAAATATAATCTGGCGCGATTTCATTCACGAAGCCAGTGGCTAGTGCATAATGTCCTTGTTCAGAAGACACAACAACAAAATCATTAACACAAAACTGTGTGTACAATATTGAACTTTCTTTGCAATCTACTTGAAAAAACTTGCATTTGAGTTGACACAATCCGGTAGAACCTGGGAATTCTATTATGCTATTCAAATCTAAATGCATATTATAAAGACTTTGGGTAGAATCGCGATTCAAACTTGATGTATTCCAGATTTGTGGTCGCACTTGGCTCACGTCCTCTTCTTCCAACTTAATTAGTTCCTCCCACTTTCGAAAGAATTCAAGATGAACCTCTCCAAGGTGCGCAGTAGATTCATTAAAGAGGTCAACGACACCAGAATCTTCTGATTTACCGTTTTCGATAGCCTTGTGATAAAGAAAGCACGTGGACCTGATGTTGCATTTACCACACGCTTGAGGATCTTTAATCATTGGTGGCAAAATATGTCGTTGTCGATTGGACAAATACCAAGTGATTTCGTTACGAGTCTTGAGTATTTCTCGTAATTCTTGAATTGACACGTGAATCCTTTTTAATTTCCCCGCATTTTGATCATTACGATCATTATTATTTTTTACGTAATAAAGTAAGCCTGATTCAACGTTAACTTTGTAGTGATCATTCATCATCACACAATACAATATGGTCTGTAAATTATGAGTGAAATCCTCTTTCCAGGCAGTTTTTATTTCTAGCGGCATAATATATTTTTTCAAAGTCCTGTTCTCCAAAACTTTGACTTCGATTGAAGCATCTAAAATTCCTTTGAGTCCAAATGTTGGAGACCAAATACGTTCCTCAACGTCCAAGGTTTTGCTAATACAAATCAACGAGTATATATCACCTCGAATGCTTTCAACCTTTCCCAAGTCGAACTTCGGCATTTGACTGACATAACATTCGGCAAAATTACGATATATGATCTTTTTATCCGCCAATTCTTTAATAACTTTGGATTCTTTTAAATTAGAAAAATATATTTTTGGGATATTTTTTTTCATGACCTGTTTTATCTTTGAATCCATAAAAGATGGTGAAAAATCATTGTTCTTTAAGCAATGTTGAATAAATTCGTGACTAAGCGTTCCAAGTACGGCCGATGGGGTATTAAAATTACCACTACTTATTCGGTCCTTTAAAATGGCCCTTCTCATGCAACTGTATGCCTCACTAACACAAGTAGATGACACTAGCACATCAGGATTAACAATTATAAGAACATCGTTCGAATCGTTCGCTTCACAGGACCTGTTTTTAAATTCGCCAATAATACTAACAGTATCATCTATACGGGATTGACGATAGTTATGTTAATTACTGAATTCAATGCCGAATAATACGGATTAAAAAAAAAAACAAACTCTTGAAAATTTTTGTATCCATCCAAGAATCACATAAAATGAGAAAAAATTCTTCCAAATTATCTTCATTTATCAAAGTCACTTTCTGTTATTACATTTATTAAAAAAAAACATAAGGTATTTATTTACAAACGTAAAGGTTTTATAAAAAAAAAAGTAAACTTGTTCACCTTTGATTTGTGTGCATCTTCCACGTGAATCACTAAAAGGTTATGAAATTTCGACTGTTCTTGAGGGGTTTCCTTCTTTTCGTTTCCTACTAAAATATCAATATTTTCTTTTCTCTGTTTTGTTATCGGTACTTTTATCGACGGACAATAACCAGCTCTCTGAGATTTATTGGGCTGAAAATTTTCAACATTTTCTTTATTTTCCGTTTGTCGTTTTCGCGTTTTTCGTGGGTTCTCAACGAGAATATCTTTTTGACGAGTTAAGGTTAATAAGACAGGGTCGACGACGCGATCGGAAGACATGATGGATTATTAAAAAGTATGGACAGAAACAAAAAAAGCGGTCTAGCCTATATATAGATAAGCGTCGCATGATTTTTTTTAAGTTACGGAAGTTCTCAAGTGATGTGACACAGAGATTTCGGACGAGTTTCTGGTTTGAATTTACGTGATTTACGCGTGTGAAAACATTTGGCTTAATAAAGTGAATTTGCACGTTTTTTTATTTTTGTGGGAAACCTGTTTTTTTACTGTCAAATTAACCGGTTTTTTATTTAATTATCTTGTCAAAAAAAGGGAATATTTATTATATGAAAAAATAAAAAGGGGAATAAAAAAAAAAAAAAAAGCCAATAAATCCAATAAATCAATTTGAAAATTTTTTATAAATTTTTTTTTTCTATACAAAAGATTTAGATATAAAAGTTGAATATTCTGTATGTTCTGTATGTATAATATAATGCAACGACAAATATATTATTGTATCGCCTTCATCACTTTCTACCGAAATATTCCTCCCATCGGTCGTTTATCGAATGATTATTATGGTTCTTTCGATACGTAAATAATCGATTCCCCCGGTCTATCCATATCATTAACGATACCATTTGATGTTGTTTGTGTCTTTAACATCATCTTAATTAATCATTCCGTATTAATCTCTAATTTTTTAAGTTTTTTAATAATAAATAAATTTTTATTATTTTTAGTTTGTGACTTTATAAAAGATGTTTTAGACCCGTTTACTTTAACCGAGTTATTGTTCGAAGTAATCTTAGTCTCATCGTTATCATTTATAATCTTTTGTTGTTCGAAATCAACGCGTACATTATTATTAAGTTCAGCTACATCATGAAAACCAAGTTCTGAAGCTGCTCGTTGCGGATGATTATTAGCATGTAGTATATTCCTCAACTCCAAGTCACTTCCTTCAGAAAAGCTTGTAGCTCTAGAACGTGGTTTACGATGAAAATCTGATTGATCAAATTCAGGCTTTAATTCGTCCTTCTTTGGTTCAGGTCTTTTGGTTTTTTTAAGTTTTGGCCACGTTGGAGGAAGTGGAAGAGGCGGCGGACGAGATGATGATGAAGGGGAAGAAGGTATAGGTCGTAAAGATAATGATCGAACAATTGGAGGTCTAGGTATCAATGATGGGATTGGTGAAGTCAAAGGTGATTTTAATGTGGTCGGTACCGCTTGGTCAGAAAGTGCAATTTTTACAGGTGGCGGAGTCGTCGTTCGTGATCTCGGAAAAATAGACGGGGATGACGACTTTGTAGTTGAAGGTTGACTTGTGGCCTCAGGAAGATCACCTGTTGATGTCGTATTTGAAGATGCCTGAGCAGAAAATGGAGATAGAACGGATCGTGGAGTTGATGGAGTTGATAAAGGAAGAGGAGGAAGTGATGATGGAGAAATTGGCGGAGAAACTTGTGGAGTTGGTGGCCTTGAATATTGAAAAGGTGGTGGTGACTTCGTTCGTTGTACATGAGATGTATGAATTGATTCCTCATATAATGAACTAGGAGGAGATTTAGTTTGAGCGACTAATTGATATGTCGCATGTTTTAATTCTTCAAATAAAGTTAATGCATTTAATTGAGGTGTTGATGGTCTAGAATGATGTGCTGAAGGTGAGAACTGTGGCGTTGATGGAATTGACGCGTGTAACGGTGTTTCTGATGATGGAGAGGACAAGGGAGCTAACAGAGGACTATCAGAATCAATTTCTGATAATGTTTGGGGAACGAGTTGAGGTGTTGGTGGTGCCGAAAATTCATTAGAAAATTCTGGAGGGGGGAAATCGGGAGTTTCAGGTATGGAAGTTTCAGGTGAATGTAAAATTTCATCTGAAAAGTATGGTGTCGGAGGTATTGATCGTAAGAATAAAGGAGGAGGAAAATGCGGAGTAGTAGGACTTGATAAAGGAAATGAAGCATTTGAAAGTGATGACTGAGAAAGAACAAGGCCATTCGTTGGAGTTGATGGAGGAGGATGAGGATGGGGTGTTGATGGAGATGAAGAAGCCCTTGATGATAATGGAGTGTCTGTTGCCGAAGTTGTAGTGGTGTGAGTTGTAGAAGTACAAGTTGAAGTAGAGTTGGATGTAGTCGATGAATTCTGCATTGAATCTTCAGAGACTACTGCCAACAACTTGTTTGACGCGTACAAAGGTTCTACATTTTCAGTATTAACATCGGTTGCGTCAATCATAGCGTCAAGACGAGCGTTCATAGCAGCATCAGTATCATCTCCTTTTTCCACGACAGTACTTTCTTCATTATTAATGTTATCAAAAATTTCCATTAGTTTAAGGAACTCATCTTCGCTTTCATTTTCATGAACCATGTCGTTTACGATATTCTCATTAATAACTTCCTCACTGACTTCTGAAATACTATCCAAAATGGTTTGAATTATATTCTTTTTGTGAATGATATCGGAACTTTCGTCTGCCTGAGACTCTTCCTCTCTTCCATTAGCAGTAGCGAGTTCTAAAGTTGTATTATTTGTAAACGTAATGTCACTTTCAATATTACTACGGTTAATCACGTCAGCATCATTAACGTCGCTCTCGTTATTACTCTTTATGTGAATTATATCGGAACTTTCGTCTGCCGGAGACTCTTCCTCTCCTCCATTAGCAGTAGCGAGTTCTAAAGATGTATTATTTGTAAAAGTAATGCTACTTTCAATATTACTACGGTTAATCACATCAGCATCAAAAACGTCGTTTTCGTCATTATAAGGCATTGTAAAGGATTCCATTTGTGATGTTGATTTAGATCCAAATTCAATAATTTCAACCGTTTCATCATCATGATTTGGTTTTGAATTGGATTCTATAATAGTTTTATTCTCATAAGGTAACGCCACATCCTCATTTTCCGTGATAACTTTACTACTATCATCATGTTCATTGATATCAACAACATTCTCGTCTTTTGATTTAAATTCAAATTCAATAATTTCAACCGTTTCATTATGATGATTTGGTATTGATTTGGATTCTATAATAGTTTTATTCTCATTTGGTAACGCCGCATCCTCATTTTCCGTGATAACTTTACTACTATCATGTTCATCGGTATCAACAACGTTCTCGTCTTTTGATTTAAATTCAAATTCAATAATTTCAACCGTTTCATGATGATGATTTGGTATTGATTTGGATTTTATAATATTTTTATTATTCTCATATGGTAATTCCTCGTCCTCATTTTCCGTGATAAATTTACTACTATCATCATGTTCATTGGTATCAACAACATTCTCGTCTAAATCCTCTGCCTCGAAATTTTTAATAACGATTCCAGATGAAAATTCGACATCCTCTTGTTGGGAATTAGTTGATGATTCATGTTCTTCCGATTTATCATTAAGATGAATTTCCATTGTTTCAACTTCAAGCTCAGTAGGTTCAATAGTAAACGATGAAGCTATTGGAGTTAGTGATCGAGGAGGAACAATGATGGTAATTGTATCATCACTTTCAAAATTAATTATACTACTTTGATCATCAATTTGAACATCTTTTAATTTCTTTGAATTTGCCCTTTTGGCTAAAATTTTTTTGCTATTTTCTACAACATTTTTAATTTGACTATAATTAAGATCATCAAAAGAATCATCATTAATGACATTATTTTGTTGTTGTTGTTGTTGTATATTATTGTTACGATTTCCACCGAAACCAAAAGTTCTCATGAGACGATGTCCAGCCGATTTCTTTCTTGCAGGAAGAGGATTTATAGCTCCTGAAGAAGCATTAGATGAAATTGTTGAAATCGTAGAAGATATCGAAGGTGATCGTCTTAATGTTGGAGTTGCAATAACAGGTAATGAAGCTAAATATGCGGCTAATACCGGTGGAAGAGGTTTAGATGATTGAGAAGGTATCGAAGATATTTTGATAGGTTGTTTATCATTTTGTTTCTTTTTCTTATCCTTAATATTGTTGTTATTCATGTTATTATTAATCACTTCACAATTATTAATTGAGGAAAATGAAGGAGTTGGTATTCCCAATAAATTGATATAATTCCAAGCACGATCAGGAGCATGAAACATAACATCTCGAAGAATTTCTATATGTGAAACTGTATCGGAAGTAGAAACCCTTGAAGTTGTGGATAATCTTTTCCTGTTGGGACCATCGTCATCATTATTGTTGGAAAGACTTAAATTATAAACTGAAGCGGCACGACTTTGACCTGCTGATTTGGAAACATTAAGAGTCATTGGTCTTCCGCCAAAACTATACGCTTGCATTGTTCTTTGACGATCCCATTCGATTGCTGTCATTGTCCAAGAAGCAGCATTCCATTGCTGTCTTAAAGTAACAATTTCATCACGAATAACATCAAGAGCTTGTTGAACCCTACGTGCATCATCAGGAAATTTGTTGAATTCATCTGGGTCAAAAAAGAAATCTTCAAGGTTTTGTTCGTTTACTTCAGAGAAATTATCAACTTTTTGTAAATGCCTAACTAACTCTTGAGTGAAATAGGTTCGAGAGGCTTGTAAAATTTGCATTGCACGGCGAGAACAAGCGTATAATGAAGTATTAAATGTAGCGTGCTGAAGAGCGTCATATAAAGGAAAAGGATATAACATGCATAAGCGAGAATAATAAGGACCACGAATGTGATGTGGTTGACGCATAGGTTTAACTATCATAATAATACGAATGAAAGGTCGAATCGTATTTCCGGTGTTAAAGGAGGTGATCGATGAAGTCATATGTGAAGCAACTTCTTCAGCGATAGAAGTTGCAGCACCCGTCGAAGTACAAGTTTTCACCATTGAACCACCTTCATCATCTTCATCTTCAGATTCTGGCGCACTCGCTGCAATTAAAAAATTTTCTTTATCGGGTGAATCAAAATTTACATTAAAAGTAAAATCTCCTTGTTCATCTTGCGTAGAACCTTGAGGTTCATATATTTGCTTTTTTTCCTCAGAATTTTCATCTTTTTGAGATTTTTGCGATTCCTTTAGTTTGTCTTTTTCCTCCTCTTCCTCTCCTTGTATTTCCTGTAATTTATTTTTATTATCATTACTAATATTATAACTACTACTACTTTTATAAATGTTTTTAAATTTATTGTTATTATTATTATTATGTTTATTATTATTATTATTATTATTAACATTCGGATCCAAAAATAATTCGGTTGGAGATGAAGAAAAATTACCACATTGTTCAATAATATTATCATCCAATTCACCCATCATCGTGTACATTTGATTAGTTTGTAAATCTAAATAAATATCAACAGTTTGATCACTATAAATATCACTAGATTCCCAATTAAGGCTGGTATCATGTTGTAACTTATAATAACAATCTAAAAAAGAAGTTTGAAATTGTCCTAAAGTTGACTTGTTATGGTCCTTATCAGATTTAGTAGACATTACTGAATCCACAAAACAATCCTGACTTAAACAAGTTAAAGATTTAACCCAGCTTGCCTCTTCAGGAGTAATTGTAGCTTCGTCACGAACTTTACCTAAAGGAATAAATTGTTTACGATCTTTTGGTACTAATATTTTAATACCTTGTAAAGTACTTTCGGTATATAAAACACCTAAATAAAGTCCAGGGGATAATTTTGTTTGACGTGAACACCATTTATCTATATAATTAGACCAAATAGGATGTGGATCTTTTTGATAAATAGAATTAGATTCTTCAAAATTTTTCCATTTTAATGTACCAGATTTTATCAAATCAGGAGCAATTTCTTCTCTAATACAATTCGGTACATGTTGAAGAGTTACGATAAACTTTGATTTTGAAGTATTCATAGATACAACATGTTCGTATAAAATTCCTAATGATTCCAATGATAATTCATTCTTTAATCTTAAAGCGGCTTGACCAAAAGCACGTGACCATTGAGTGTCTTGATCACCATAAAATTGAGAATGATTATTATCAGAATCTCCTGTAGCACCATTATTTGAATTTGATTGAGTAGAGTGTAACGAATCAGTATCACTAGAATTATCTTCTTTATTATCAAATTCAGTTGAAGTAGCCCAATCCAGAGAAGTTCTTATAACATGTGCGAATTCTTCACTATCATCTTCAACATTACCAAATATTATACCATCCTTTATAATTTCGACAGTAGGAAACATTTTTGCACTTGATGTTATCAATACTTTGTTATCACTCGTAAATAAGATAGCAGATAAATAAATTGTTTCTGGCTGAAAACGCGTTTTCAAACACGTCTTTGTACTACTAAAAACTCCCCGTCGTTTTATTGTTTGTACAGAGGTATTTGGTGATAAACCATTTGATGATACCGAACGCTGAATGTGATAGTTCAATGTAATGTTAGATCACATCACGTGGTAATATTTTTTTTCAAAAAAATAAAAAAAAAAAAACCTTTTTTGGATTTTCTTCATTATATACAAGTTCAAGGTATTCCGGTGTCTTTTTTCGAACTATCAAAGTATCCTAAATAAATGAGATAATGAGATCTGAGATTTTTTTTTTAAAAAAAAAAATTATAGATATACTAAATTTTTTTTTTCTTACTTCAGCCGGGTATGATGACAATAAGTGTGATTCGCATAACCAGGTTTTAAATAATTCGCTATATAAAGCATAATTCCATGAATCATATATACCCAAAGTTCTACATGCCTGAGTTGAATGTTAAGATTAGTGAAAAGTGAACTATAATCGATTATTCGTTTATGAATATTATCTACTTACTCTTTCAAGCACAGCTTGAACAGAAGTTCCTTGTGAATAATCAATATCAACAGGTATTTCGCGGCCCTCGAGCCGTACTTGTATTAGACAGAAACTATAAATGATTCATAGTTTGATAAGTTATTCCTGTCTTTGTCATGCGATGTATAAATGTAAACAGCTATTTATTAACTTACTAGTCCATATATATATATATATTAGATCAAGCTTTTATGATAACTTTAAAAAAAGTCAACAAAAGCAAAAGGTAACTTAATAATTAGCGATGAGTAGAAAGAGTAAAAAGAAAGAAATGGATAGTAAGTTTTTACCAGATAATAATAGTATATAATAATATATAATAATATCTCGTGAAATGCTAAAAAAGGAAAATAAAGGGTATGTTGCTGCTGCAGACGATAAAAAGGGAGGAAATCAAGTTCGATAGAAATTATTGTTTGAAAAAGTAAAATAAAGGAAAGACAAAATTTTTTTATTTCTCGTTAACAAAGCAAAAGAGCAAGCAAGACAATTACCGAAATAATTTGAATAACAGAAGTTTGAATAATATTTTTTTTATTTGTGTTCGTGGTGCAGCTCGATTGATATGACTTTGGATGAAGTTGATGAGGTTTAAGGGGTGGAACGACAAATTGTTTGAGTGGTTCTTTTAGAAGTCGTATAACGAATAACAAACTACGCTAATATAATCTTTGTATGGTGGTAATATGTAGGATGCGAATCTATCGTCATATCCTTTATATTTTGGTTCCTGCCTGAAATGAATATGAGGGAAAAATATTGTGTATTTATTAGAATACAAAAAAATTTTAAAAGATTTTCATTTAATATCATCAATTGTTTCATGATTATTTTTTGTTTCACAAATTTTTTAAAATAAACCCACGCGGAAACTAATTAAAGTAAGGATGAATATTCTAGCAAAGTTTCCACGTGAATGTTACTTTTCAAAAAAAAAGTATGTATGCCATCAGAAGGTGGTTGATTTATTTCAAGCGAAGAAAATAATCAACAGACTTTATTTATCAAGAAGAAAATTTGCGCGGAAATTTTTTTTATTATTAATTTTAATGTTATTTGATGTTGTATAATATAGAAAATGCATTAAACTAAATTATACATTTATGGTTGGATGTAGATAACAAAATCTTTGTCACCAATTAGTTTTTTCTGAGAAAATCATCACTGACGTAAATTCACGTGATTCAATATTATAGGTTATGAAAATCAAAATTAAAAACAAACATCAAAAATGTGATGTCCAATTGTACATTACAAAGGAACCAAGATTTTTAATTTTATAAATATGCACTTGTAATATTAATATCTTTGTTAAATTGACTTGCGACCCTTTGTTAATCTGGTCTGGACTTTATAAAGATTTGCTACACGAAAAATCAAAGATAAATTGGGGCTAACATCGCGTTTCGCATTTTTATGGACAAAGATAAGTTTTCGAATTTCATGTGATATGTAGATCTGCTTAAATACAATTTTTATTTTTTGAAAATCATTCATTTTTTTTTTTTTTTTTTAACGATTATGTCTAATTCACTAAAATATCATGTCAGGGATTTATATAGAAGGGTAAATATTTTATATATATTTATATTCTCTATTCCTAAAACATTTAAATCATCAAAATTTTAGCTTCTATTCTTGGGTAGAGAGTATCCTTTAGGGTATGAAAATTATTTTCGTCCAAGATTAAAAGCTGCTTTTATGAAAAATCGTGATTTAAAAAATAATGATGAAATTAGAGATGCTATTGATAAAGGAGAATATATTATTAAAGGTATTTTTTATATTGTAAATTGTTTTTTTTTTTCATCATTTGAGATGTTAAATTAACAACGTCAATCATTTCTATATGAATAAAAAAAAAGAATTAAAGGCATTATATTACTTGAAAAAATATCGTTCATTAAAACGATCATATGATTTATAATATTTATAATTACTTATTAATGTTAGTTTTTTATTTGATAAAGTGATCAAAAGGATCATTAATTAAAATTCTAATAAAATAAATTTTAAAATCACAATAATAATAATAATAATAATAATAATTTTCCCGTCATTATAACGTTATATACTTCTCTATACATTATTTATGCCATATAAAAATATTTATCCTTATTCTCTGTTCTTGAAAGATATTGTTTCTCTAATAATTGTTCAATACATTTTTTAATCATTGGTACGTTGGGGATAAACCGTGATTTTGCTTGATCAATAACTTCTTTTATTAATTGTGCATGTGTTAAAGTTTTTCGTGATTTCATAACGCGCACTATAGCAGCCTAAAAAATTAAATCAGAAGAATTAACAAGATTATTTAATATTGATTCATATTTCTCAAAATTTTTACCTGGAGATAAAGTTTTCGATCATCATCAACTGCTTTTCGTGTTGCGTCAGTTTCTTGTGGTGTTTCAGCTTGTAATGATGAGCTAACCTTAATTTTATTTCGTTTACTAATCATACAAACAAAAATATTTAGTTACAAAATCTTTAACGATATAAGATAAAATAAAAATTTTAAATACTTTGAAAATTCCAAGTTTAATCTTATTTCAGTTTCATCGTTAAGAGTACCACCAGGTTTGGAAACTATGAATACCGCCAAATCTATCATTGGCTATAAAATATAATTATAAAATTAAAACTTGATATTTACTTTTCTTTTTTTTTTTAAAAGAAAAATTTTTACCTTCATAACCCTTCTCAATTCTTGATCATTAAGCCCTGTATGTTCTATTATTTCTTTAAACGTAAACATATCAGCACCATTATACAAAAGTAAAACGCCAAGCTGATAAAGTGACACAGAAAATTCATAACGCTTGTCAAGGTACGTTAATTTCACGTCAGCTGAATTAATAAAATAATTGATTAGCATAATGAATAAATATGAAAGATAATAAATTAATTACCTTTAGACAAATGCCATAACCATGTCAATCTTCTACCACTATGCTGACTACTATAAAAGGTTGAAAAATGAGTCACACTCTTTTCCAACTAAAAAAAAATATATATATATAAAATTACTTAACCATTAAAATTCAATTACAACAAATGAATATATAAATCAAAATACTACCTCTGTTGGCAATTGAAATTCAGTAGCTGAAATTTGTGTTAATGGCCAAGCACCGGCAGTTAATACCAAGATAGAAAAGTCAACTAAAGAAACAATTGTAAATAGTATACATTAACTGGATGTTTTTTTAAAAGCAACAATAAGTAAATGATATGTGGATTAAAATCATAAATCATACCTCCAATATTCATCGGATTTTTTTTTAGAAAATCGGAAAAATCTTTATTGACATCTGCGCTAATCGTGATATCAGTAAACATCCTTTGTAATTTACTAGTATATTCAACACCGCATGCATTCTGGAAAAAAAAATAAAATATATAAATTAAAAACACGCTCATAAAATTAATTTGGTCACGAATACTAATTTGTAACAAACTTTTAATCGGGAAATCATATTCAACTCCGCTTCTTCCGACGCAGAATTTCCATATATAAGACGTTTCGCAAGCATTCTAGAATAGAACTTTTGATAAACGTCTTTATCTTCAATATACTTGAAGAGAATAATCTATTGTTTTCAAATTAAAGATAAAATAATAAACTTAAAATCATTATTTATCATTAAATAAACTAAAAAAAAAAAAAAAAAAAAAATACCATTCGATTTAATTTATCTTCAACTTCGTGTTCGCTCCATCCTCCTTTGTGAGTCTTTTTCAATAATACATCACAATAACGGGCCATAACCTCGGGAGAATGAGCAAGGGGATTTATAGTTGTATTATTAACAATTGCCCTAAGAGCCTTATCAACTGCAGCAACAAAAGCTGCACCATTGACAAAAACTTTTTGACAAACTGTCAAATATTTTGAATGATGATCCAAAAGAGATTCTACATATTCTCTAGGGTCCTGTTGAAATGATACAAAACAATTATATGAATTACAAAAATGAATTTTAAAATAATTAAAAGATAGGATGACTACCTTAGCAATAGAATTTCCCATCCTAACTATCAATCCTTTACCGATATTTGTAATATATCTTTCAAATATTTCTAATAAAGGATTTACACCGTCAGGAATACAAGACAAAAGTGTATAGGCCATCGTACAATCTACGTAAAATAAAGTAAGTTCTTGAGATCGAAAAAAAATTTCCATCTTTGTTTAAAAAATGGTATTACTTATAATATTACCTTCATATCTCTCATTTGATATCATGGCCTCAAATTCACCCTGAATTATTGATTGATGTGCAGCTATATATTGCGTTTCGCATTCTTTGATTATCTATTTTGTTTCATTGTTCACAAAGTAAGGTCTAAGATATAAATGATACAGAAAAATGATATACAACCTTTATTTTTAACGTACAGTAACATGTGATGATTGGTGACAATATTTCGAGTTTCGTGCCTTTTCCTCTTCTAATCTTTGAGAAGCCTGTTTAATGATATCAAAAAGCATAAGCTATATAACTAATTTGTTTTGATCACTCGGTTATGAAAGAAATAAAAGAAATCGTTCGTTCCTTTTTCATATATTCAGAAATGCTGGCATTAGCGATTACAGCGGCAGATTCCCTTTCATAATATCGTCGCGTATTTTTCAAATATGGCTTCTCGAATTCTTCAATGTATAGACTTAAAGGATTCTCAGTCAAATTATTAAGCTCAACTAGTATTCGTCAAGAAAAAATTTTTTTTAATATAAACTTATAATTTTAAAATAAAATATATATTTAGAAGTGACAATACCAAGTGATATAATTGCATCTGACACAACATCTGGTACAGTATCTTCTCCATCCCTATCTCTTCGAATCATTTCAAATATCTGATACATGAATCGATCAGAATGTTTTTCCTTGATGGTATAAACAATCTGTTTTTTCCATATAAGGTATGCCAACTAGTAAAATTATAAAATAAAATCATTAGATCAAATCTTTAATCGAAGACTGCTATCAGAAATCGTACTTACGGCTTGAACGGTCTGTCTTCTATAATTACCACCTTGTACTGTCATTTTTCTATCGGCTATAGCTCGTGATTTGTTATTTACCAAAAGTTTATTAAGATAATCGCAAATCATACTAGAAAATCTTGCTGCGAGACTGTAATGGTTCCATTCTCTAGCATAAGCACTAACTACATCATCGTGATTTAAAATCGACTAAATTAAAGATCACGTGTAGAGTAAACCATTAATTAAATATCACGTTAATTACTTTGTCTATTAATCTCTAGCGTACCTCTCTTATTTGTATTGTATAATCATTCAAAAATCCAGCTATAGCATTAAACAATTTTTCGGTGTGTGGCCTTGGCGCAGCAGTACACATGTCATACACCAATCTAATAAAGTTCGTCCTGTCAAGGAATAATTTTTTTTTTTTGTAATAAAAAAACGAGTAAATATGTTGTATATTTAAAAGGATACTGATACATTTTCATTCCCGAAACTTGATCTAATCCAGTGAAATTAAACATAATTTCCAGATCCTGTCTAAATTCGGCAAAAGCCTTCTCAAAAACAACTCGTTTTGAACGAAGAGACATATTTTTGGTTAATAATGACTAAAGAGTGGCTGTGAAGTAAATCAATTCAAAACACCCAATAAATAAGATAGTTAATAGTTTATTTGGAATATCTATTATGCATTTAATTTACGGCGATCAAGATCACTTTTTGAACCAATTTTTTAATTAGTTAAAATACTTGGTTGGTTGTAATAATGCATGGATCAAATTTGAATTGCATCACGGAATAAATTCTAACCAGTTTGCAATTAAAATTTTATCATAAAAATTTAAAAGTAGAAAAATATATGAAATATGATGTTATTAGTCCGGAACGAAGTGACTCAATAATTGATTGACTTTTTGCAATATTTTTTTTAGTTGAGATCGTATATATTGTTATAGAAGTATTGCCTTTTGACCATTTGACCATAGTCAAATGGCCAAAGTTTAGGCCAGCAAAAATATATTTTTTAATAAATTATTAATTTTTTTTATTTTGAAAGCTTAATCACAAATGGTAGAAATATAATTTAGGTTCATTTTAATCTTTAAAACATAAAATATTTTTAATTAAGGTAGTTATAATAACTAATATTAACTTTAATTTATATAGAAAGAAAAGAAATATCAAAAAGAAAAATTTTTTACTTTATAAGTTAAATATAAATTTTTTTATACTACAGCCGACCTTTTCTATAAACAATCACACCCTTTGGGATCGCCTTATGATGTGATTGTATAGAGGTGTACTTATATGTGATTATGTAATTTCAAAAATTAAAATTATTAATATTATTAATATTGTATTTATTGTATTATTTTATTCATTATTTTTAACACATGGTTGTTAATTAACCAATTCTTCTTTTTTAGACTTTTTGACACTTTAGCTGAATCTAAAGCAGTAAGTTTTGTTTTTTTTCTTCTTTGCTTTGTTCTTCCTTCTTTTGTTTGATTATTAAATTAACCAATTTCTTCTTTTTTTTAGATTTTTGGACTCTTCAGCTGGATCCAAGATGTAAGGTAGTGAGTTCATTTCTTTCTTCTTTGCTTTGTTTATTCTTTCGCTTGTTCTTTCACTTAGTGGTTGATTAACAACTATTTTTTTTTGTTTTTTTAGATCTTTAGGCATTTTGGTTAGATCCTAAATATAAGGTGATAAGTTTATTTTATTCTATACTTCTTTTCATCATTTTACTTGATGATTGATTAACAACAATTTTTTTAGATCTTTGGGCTTTTCAGCTGTATCTAAGGTGGTATTTTCATTTTCTTATTTCATTTTAATCTTTTATTTACTTTCTTTTTTAGATGTTTCTTTTAACTTTTCAGATCTAGATTTTAGACAAATATAGTAAGTTTCATTTTCTTATTTTGTTTTATTCTTTCGTTTGTTTAAAATTTTCTAAATTCTCATATTTTTCTTTTTTTTAGATACAAGACTAGCATTAGCTTAGACCAGACTGATCAGATTGGGTAGGACTATTAGTTTTATATGAAAAATTAATTTTTTATTTAATAAAGTTTATTGATCTTTAACGCTAAATTTCATATAATTTATTATATTAATTAAATATTATTAATCAAATAAAAATTTATTTAATTTATTATCATTGTTATGATTTCAACTTTAATTTTTATTTTTTTACCTTATACAAACGTGAAAGTAAAAACTCATATAAGTTTCAATACAAATCCCTTGATTTCAATAAAATTAAATTATCAACTATAATCTCCTTACTAACTATCATAACTATTAATTATTAAAATCATTATTATAAACTTATTTTCATAATATATATTAATAGTACTTTATTTTTAGAATTAAAATCTTCTACTTTAGTTATTCATAAATATTTTCAAAATATTTTTAAATCTTCAATATTATACATAAAATTATCTTGCTATTCAAAATAATTTATAAATATTTTTAGCCTATTAATAACTTTATTAACTAAATAGAAAGAACTTCTTTTTTTTTTTTTTAATATCACTTTCTTCTTTTTTTTCAGTTAATATCATATTAACTATTTATTCATCAATAAAAAATTTTTCAATTAGCATGTTTTAATCAATTATTTGAAAATATTCTTATATTCCTTTTACATCTGATAAAGCATCAAGAAGATTAACAATTTTCTCATTATCTTACTCTCTTATATCATCATCAACAAATTCATTATCAGATGAAAGTATACCTACTTTCATCCAACAATTTTGAATAGTTATTAAAATAACATTATTTCAAACTTCAATAATATAATCTATTACTTCTTTAATATTTAACTTTTTATAAAATAAATAAATAAAATTAATTTATTATATTTTATTAAAATAAAAAAATAATCATAGATTTTTATAATTAATTTATATGATTTATTTTAGAATCAAATTTATGATATCACTGTAGAATTCTTCAATTTAGGTTGGTCACATTAACAAGTCTCTACTCAAAGTTACTAACTGTAGTTTACTGCAATTAAGATATTAGAATCCACCTAATTCTTAACCTTACTAAATTTACTTAAACAAATCTATCAAGTATAAAGACTTGAAAGACAAGATTATGAACAAATTTAATTAAAAAATCTAGAAGACGAACTTAATTACAAATAATGTATAAGAATCGCATCATGCTATATGAAAATATAAAGAGGTAAAAAGATATAAGTTTTAATTGATTCCTTTATTAATATTGAAATTTGTATTTACAAGAGAGTTAGTTTATAATATAAGTAAAAGTTTATCTATTTATACAAAATTTCTTTTTCATAGCTAACTATTTACTATGCTATAGACTAACTAATTTAATAAATAAAATATAAGTAAAATAAATATACTAAAAATAATAAAAATACATAAATAATAAAATTATAAAGTATAATAAAAATAATAATAAAATTATATTAAAAATAAGTATAATACTAAATATTTCTGACTTCATTAACTTGTAAAATTAGAATTATTATTAGTATTTAAAAGATCTGCAAAATTACATAAATCTTCTGTATTTTCAGAATTTGCAAAATTCTCAGTATTTTCAGAATTCTGAATTAAAAGATTATCATAATGTATTATCTACGTAATTTTATTAGTATTAGTTAATTACTTTATTAATAATATAATAAAACTAACTCTATTTTTTTCTATTACATTTTAAGAATAATAAAGAGAACTAAAAGCTAAGAAAAAAAGATAAAAGAATAGTGAGTCTAGCAAAAACCTTTAACATTAAATGTAACAAAGATCTTAAATAATATTTATGAATCTAATATATTTAATTATATTAACTTATTCAAACTTAATGATAATCCAATAATTTAAAATAATATTAAACATAAAATTTTCAACTTATAAAGAAAATAAAGGTTAAGAAATATAAGATAATATTAAAAATAATAGAAATCAAGAAGGCAGATAAATTAGAAATAATAGAAAGAATAATGAAAATGAATGAAATTGAGAAGTTCAAAATAATTAAAAGAGTAGAGGCTAAAAACTAAGTAATTATAAAAAATAAAGAAACTAATAATCAAAAAGTTCAAATGGAAACTAAAAAATATTACCAATAAATATTATATATAGAAAATACTAATAGTATAAAAGGTGCAATAAAATTCATTCATTTGAAGATAAGATTTCAATACTCATTTGCTGTTTTTTTATTCAGATTTCAAATTTTCAAATTTTCTTATCTACAGTATCTTTCTATAATAGATTTTATTAAATAATAGTTCTCTTATTTTTGAGAAACCAGTGAATAAAATATTATTATGCCTTTTCTAAAATAAGAATTTCACTAAATATTTACAAAAGTATATTATAAAAATTATTTTAGGTTTAATATTAAAAAATATATAAGTGGTTATATCACATAGTATTAAAAAATTTTCATAGATATAGCAAAATTACAATTAATACGCAATTTTAGTTGACAAATGAAGTTTTATTGTTAGGCATTATTTTTGAGTATTTCAAAATTCAGTGAACTTATTATAATATAAATAGTGTATTAAATACTTTCTCTATAAAATATTACCTTTATAGCTTCTTTTTTTTTATTCCCTAAAGAAAAATTATTATTTATTCCTTTTCTATAATATATAATTTAACCTTTTCACTTCAATCACATTCTTCACTAAATCCTAATAACTATAAATTTTTTATTATTTGATATTATGCAATGCTATTTATATAATTGATAGTATTATAATATAATTAATGAAAGGGTAGATATAATAATAATATTATTTACTTTAGATTAGATATGTATAATCATATATTTTATTAATTTTTTTTACTGTTTTTAATAATTATGTATAATATACTTTACAGTATATATATGAGAAGTTAAGACTTTAATTAAATTTATATTTTTTATTACATAAGATTTGATACATATAGTATCTTTTTATTATATATTTACACACAATCATATTCTCCAGTTATTAGTAAAAAAAATAAATCCAAAAATTTTCTGTATTACAGTAGCTTACTAAAATTTATATTTATTTTAACAATTTTATTTATCTTTTTCTTAGTTTGGTTAGTTTTCCTCTTTTCTCAAATAATAATAAATATATTAACCTTTTATGACTTTTTATTATTATATGAAAAATATTCCATTTTATATTATTCTATGTTAGCAATATTATATTATAGCTATGACTATTTTTATGCTTACTTATTACTATAGCTATTATTATACTACTAAAATTATCTCACATTTTTTTTCTTGTATAAAGGTTTTTTATAAAATAAAAATATTTTTCCTATATAAATTTTTGTGATTATATTAGTGAATTAGGATACACTAATTTGATTTATCAAAGCTTTAGCCTAAAATTTTTAACTTTTTTGATAGTAATAATTGGCGTATCAGAGTGATCCAATTTGATTTATAAGTAAGATAATAGCCCTAATCCCATTTAAACTATAGAAAGTTAATAAAATCTCACAACTTATAGATAAAATAAGTTTAAATAGTCAAAAATTTTGTGATAAATATGTATTTAACTCTTTAAATAAAAATGTCT